CCGTATCGGCATCAGCTCTATTGGGCCTCATGTGGTGGTCTGATGGCTCTTTGAGGCGCGCGCATATGTATTTAGCTTAAATGTTTCTCCTGTGTCGTTAGTACGTTTACAAAATATTATATTGATTGGTAAACATTTACATTGCTATTACATTCAGGAGCAACAAAAAGTATTTAATATTATCGCAATCAATTTCTTTTGTAACTAACAATTCATTCAATACTCCATCCCTACTCCTTCCGTGGACGTCATAAGAGCCGACTAAGTTACTAGGACTACATATTTGAGAGAACGGGCTACAGCTCTCTCTGATAAACCTGAACTTAACAAACTTCATGAATATGCTACGTGCTACGTGCTACGCCGTAGACCGACTTGCTACGGCGTAGTCGCGATCTACAATATTTTCTGTTACGTTATATTTGTGGTTTGTGTAATTTTGATTCTAGTGATTGATTCTCCCGATTGATTTTAATTATGGTGTCTATGCTATTGTAGCAGCTCATCATAATATGTAAGCATCTTTGACATATAACTGGGGAGCGCACTCGGCCGGCCTGCCACCGTGCGCCCGCGAGACTAACTAGACAAAGCGAAAGGAATGGATCGGCCGTGTATATCATCGCGCTCGCACGTAGGGAGCCCGACACGTCATAATTACATAAGTAAAATGGTGTTAGTCTTAAGTTTTCGTATGTACTCTGTATTTTGTGATATTTTTGTACACAATGTACATAAACGGTGATTTTAAATAAATGACACAGATCGTTATTCGCCTTCTTATTTACAACACGCTCCTCCCCTAAACTATGAAAAGAAATGAACATAACATCACGCCTTTTATTCCTGAAGGGGTAGGCAGAGGTGCACATTATGCCACTGTACAATGTAACACCCACTTTTCACTATTTATGTTATGACGTATAAGTCCCATGTAATAGGGGGTAAAACTATTGCCATATACCGTGCACAACTCCAGACTCTGTGCTACTATTGAGATTTTTTTTAAAACCAGTACTACTTTGATCGACCCGGGAATCGAACATGAGACCCCTTGCCGGGCAGTCACATTTGCGTCTACTCTTCCATGTCAATCTTTAATTTACTAGATGAGGGCCGGCTGACTAGACTAGCCCACTACACAAATACAGGTACACTCTCTGTCCCCGACGGGACAGCAGACCGTCACCACCGGAGAGAGATCTGACGCAGGACCTACGGTGACACGTAATTGCTGAGGCACGGTTGTGGAAACACCGCCGAAGTTGGTTTTTAATAATAATAATCTATACTAATATAAAGCTGAAGAGTTTGTTTTTTTGTTTGTTTATTTGAACGCGCTAATCTCCGAAACTACTGGTCTGATTTGAAAAATTATTTCTGTGTTGGATAGCCCATTTATCGAGGAGGGCTATAAGCTATAAAATATCACGCTACGATTAATAGGCCCCAAGCAGAGCGAGTGAAACCGCGCGGAAGTAGCTAGTCTTTAATAATGGTAGTTTTACTCAGAAAATGCTATTATCACTTTTTGACCGGAGCGAGAATCGAACCCGCGAGGACGATGCACAGTACGTCACCCAACCATGCAGTCAAAATATTAGTTGAGCAAGCATTAATCTTTGAGAAGTCGGTAACATGACACGCAGACAAACACTCAGTACTCAGTACAGAGGGTGCGAGTGCGAGGGATAACTCGATACACAGTAGTTGGACAATTTGTAAATATCGTGTACTATAATGTAACTACCTCAATGTTGTGACATTTTCCGAGTTAACTATAATTATGTAGTCCTTATATTTAGACACCATTGACAAACAGAAACTGGCTCGTTGGCCGAGTGGTCGCAAGTGCGACTGACGGGCAAGGGGTCTCGGGTTCAATTCCCGGGTCGGGCTAAGCATTGCTAGGTTATTAAAAAAATCTCAGTAGTAGCACGGAGTCTGGAATTGTGTCCGGTATATGGCAATAGGCTCACCCCCTATTACATGGGACTCATAACATAAATAGTGAAAAGTGGGTGTTACATTGTATAGTGGCATAATGTGCACCTCTGCGTACCCCTTCGGGGATAAAAGGTTATGTGTTTTGATGTTATGTGACAAACAAAAAATAACGCGAGGAAACCTGGATTTATATATAATTTCTAATATACGTCTGAAAACGCCAACCCGCATTGAACAAGCGTTTAAACCACGTTGCCCTCATGCTGGAAGAGCGCAAAGACTATTTTGTTTAAGTCGATTAAAATATTTTTTTATTATATAAGTATTTCTTTTAACTGTGAAATAAATGATTTTAACTACCGACTTATTTGCTTGTTGGTAACATTGTGGACAGCCGTATCAAACATGTTTGCTACCATATTATTATATAGTTTCCCAAACAGATTCATTTACTTATTTATTTACACTTGTATACAATGGCGGACTTAATGCCTATCATGGCATCTATGCATGACATTCTCTAACAGTCGTTTTTTTTTTATGGGGGAAAATCATCGAATGACTGCTCCCGGCTGGGTGAGGCGGGAGGGAGTGTCAGACTCTTACTGACTAAAAACCACCCCGTTCCTTCTCCTGCACTTCGAGCCGGAGCCCCGGTAACCCGTTAGGTTCTCCGCGACAACGTTAGGGTGATGCAGAGAGATAATAGTAGGTGTAAAAGTTTAACACTGTTGTGAGTATTGAACATAAATTGACATGTAGATATATATATAATTATACATACAGTGCGTAGCGTGGAGAATCCCTTTGATCATAGATTTATGACATTTTAATAAACTACTTTCTCATCGGCTCATTTAAAAACCACAATGATAAACAAAAATATTAACACAAACTAAAATATACCTAAACTCATTGTCATAATGTCCAAATTCCTTATATGTTTCAGTCAAAAATAATAGCAAAGTGATTAAGACTTTATTATAATGAGGGTAGAGTAAAATATTGCTTGGGGTTGATGTTAGGGGGGTTGTAGACCATTAGTTCCTGAACCGAAAGCAATTGATTAAAGTATGCTTCGTGACATCCAGCGTGACTTCTTTTTGTATTGTATTTTATAATTTTTTTATAGATAATATAAAAATAAGTCGGTTAATGAATCAGACTGGGATGCCGTCCGAATACAAAATAAATAACACCTTAGTCACTAATTATGTACTACACCTCTGTTCAGCAAATAAAGACATTTGATTTGGGCTCGCTGCCATTGCAGCGGTAAGTCCCCTATTTGAGTAGTGGCTTGGGAGATGCTATAGCGTCCTCGCTTACCGTCTGACGCAGGTGCTTACCGGACATGGAAGCTTCGAGAGGTACCTGTGTCTGATAGAGCGGGAGGAAACGCCCGGGAGTCATCACTGCGAGGACTGCCCTGAAGACACGGTGGGGGCGTGCCCTGCGTGGGCTGAGCACCGCCGTGCTCTCAGAGATGTGATCGGCGATGGCGAACTCTCGCGTCCGGCCTTAGTCCGGGCCATGATGCGGAGCAAGGGGGTGCCGTCCCCTCCTTTTGCGAAGCAGTCACGCTAGCTAAGGAGTAGGCGCTACCTCCTCACAGCCCACGAGCTGTGAGGAGGTAGCGCTTCGGGATCCCATCAGCCCTATTGGGCCCCGGGATCCACGGATCCACGGATCCAATAGGGCTGGGATCCCCCCGCCTTACCCAGGCGGGAGAAGTCATTAAATGATTTTCCCCCCTTAAAAAAAAGGTGATGTAGGGCGGTTTACTCAAATAAATATTCACCACAGAGAGTGGTTCATTTAACTGTCATTCCATGTTCAGACGACTTTAGTGGAAATAGGGAATGAATGAAAAAAGAAATTACACGTTCAATGATGGTTTTTTAAATATGTTATCGACTGATATCGTGCGTTTAGGAATCAGTATAGATAAGATCAAATCAAATCCGAGTGAACGTTCACTCAGCTCGGACAGCTCATTTTTTTGTTCATTCGAAGCGGAGCGAAGGAATGAATGATGCCGAATGCCAAACTCCAACATCGTTGGATCGGTTCAATAATGAATTTATTTTGCATTCTTGTTTCAAGCTCACGTTCAGAAGTATCATTTTGAGTGAAAGCTGTCGAATGAAAGACAAAAATGAACTGTCATGGAACCGTCCGATATTACCTTTAAGCGCAAATCTCGTGAAAAATCCAAAAATCATTATCTATTTACTGAAAATTTTGAGAAGTCTGCTCCCCAAGTATCAATTTTCCCGACCCGGGAATAAACAAAACAAACGAAAGCTGGACTTGTGGAATTGCAATTGTAGCTAATGAGATGTCCATAAAGTTTGAGATTCGATTCCAGATATCGTATGACCCTCTCTCGGGGACATGTGGCTACTTAATGAACAATAAAACTGGACACTGTTTTAGATAATTAACGGAGCATTTTGATAATATAATTTGAGATTGAGAGGGTCAATGACCGCGGGTACATATAGTCTATGTATTTAAAAATAAGTAAGTACGGTTGAAATGAAAAATCGAATTCTGACATTGTTTTTTTAAACATTGCCCCACACTAGTATTGTGTCCTGTGTTGTGGGTGCGTTTACTAATATACACGTTCACATACACATGAATGCCGTAATGTGCACCTCTCTACCCCTTCGGGGTAAAAGGCGTGATGTTTCATAACATCACGCCTTTTACCATCCACATGAAACTCAGACCTATAGGAACAAAAGTTGCTCCGAGCGGGAATCGAGCCATCTACATGCAGCAGCCGGTTCCCCAGCCAACACGCCAACTACGAAGCCGCAATTTTTTTTTATTAAAGCAAGCTTATATGCAACTTATTATTAAACATGCGATAGAAAATCACCTTTGCGAATGGGGCCTTAGTCACACTTAGGTGGGTCAGGAAAGAGGTTAGTCGTTACTAACCTTTTTCCTGACAGGAGACAGTTCAGAACGTACCCATATATTGTACTCTGTGACAGAACGCATCCAAAATTTAACCTGTCACCTCATTCACAGCTACAACGTCAAAATTATACAACAATTTATTTATGAGTAATAACACGAATGCGGAAATAGAACCACACACACCACGATATGAACAACAAGAGACCAAAAACCTGAACAATGAAGACCTCAACTCTGGCAGGCATTTTTATCGCACTGGTGATGTTTATTCTTCTCATTATAGGTATTGTGCAGATGTCAAAGTTTGCAGAGCATAAAGGGCACTCCAACGTGAACCAATGTCCACACAAGCTGAGTCAGAGACACGTGATCTCCTTGAGTGAGCACCACTTGAATAGAAGTGTCATGATGTCTCTCGGTGACCGGTTTCCCTATGTCATAGCCATCACGAGGAACGCTACCAATCTCTGGACGTTTGCCTGCTTCGCTAGTGTCATACTGATGCAGTGGATCGTTACGTCTGCACATTGCAGGTCTGGTTCTACGTTTTGTAACAACTTTGTCTTACATAACATAACATCACGCCTTTTTATCCCCGAAGGGGTAGGCAGAGGTGCGCATTATACGACTGTACAATGTAACACCCACTTTTCACTATTTATGTTATGAGTCCCATGTAATAGGGGGTGAGCCTATTCCCATATACCGGGCGCATTTCCAGACTCCGTGCTACTACTGAGATTTTTAAAAACCCAGTAATACTTTGCCCGACTCGGGAATCGAACCCAACACCCCTTGCCCAGCAGTCGCACTTGCGACCACTCGGCCAACGAGGCAGTCAACTTTGTCTTATTAACTAAAAATAGCGGTTTGCTCATGTAAATATATTGAGAAAAGCTCTACTAGTTTCGAGTCATACAGGGGCTCTTCGACGTCACGTAGACGTACTCTACTTTAAGTTAATTCAATATGGCTCACGACAGTTATTAAGTTGCATTTCAAATATGAATATGAATGCAATGTTAGAGTGCTAGTTGCTGTTAGAGTACATTCACCTTTGTTGCCATAACCTTGTTAGAAGAAATTGTACTAAGGGAAGAAGAAGTGAATAGGTTGCTTATGGGTCGACGTGCTCCATCGTAGACCGCATCATCGCTTACCACCAGGCGAGATTGTGGTCAAACGTCGCCCCATCAAATATATAAAAGATAAATTTAATTATTTCAGTATTCCCAAGTATCATTCCATTTTATTTCTTACCATTTTATTTGATGTATTCAAAGGCTGTACCTTTAAGTCATTCCATGTCTCCAGAGTCGCCGGCTACATCCACCGCGCGATCCTGTTCAACGACTTCGCCCACAACCAGACCTTCGCATTTCCCATCCTATACTGGCGTCTCCACGAGAAGTACAACAGCTCTCTAGCCAAGTACGACATAGCAGTCGCGAAACTGAACCTGCAGAACTACGAGCCGGTCATGAGACCTGCAGTCTTCGACGAGTCCATGGTGACTGACGTAGAAGCCAGTGTTTGGAAGACAGTCGCTACTATGGACAAGAAGCTGTACCTTACCAACCATTTTGATAAATATGAAGTGAGAATCACAGATCCTGGCAAATGTTACGAAAGTTATGGAGTCCCAGTAGACGACAGCATCATCTGCATCGATACTTCGATCTACGAAGATTGTTTCGTACACGAATATGGACCTATTTTCTCAGGAGATAAAGTCGTCGGTATCATAGCAGTGAAACCTGTGGACTGTGAGATGAAGGTGGCCATCTTTACAAATATTTCCTACTTTACGAACTGGATTCTAAGGACTACGTACGATGGATGATACTTCATTATTTTGTTGTTTTATTTGTAGTTTTGGTATCATTGTCATTATGGTCGTCCCCATTCAGTTAGATCTAATATCAAGCAGTTTATTAGTACTTCGAGAAAAATATTCTTTCCTTTAATATACTAACGTTGTTCTGATAACATAAAATAATGCTCCAATCAGAGAAAATAACCAGGTCGATGGAGGGGGTATTTTAGAATCTACAAAAGTGATCGATGCAGACATCGAAACAGAAATCGTGGCTCATTTAAAGCTTGTAGACAGAAATGCGATTGGTGATATATGCCTACTTTAAACCTACCAGTATTTAAAATTAAGTATCTACCTACAATGAAGGAATGTGACTGTTTCACCGCCTCTCAATATCGACCTCGGTTAACTTATGACAGACAGTTTAAATAAATAACATTCCTAACTAAATTCGATCTGATATATAGTACCTAATAGCGGTTATACAAACATTGAATAGGTCGTTACTAAAACGGCTGAAAGAGAACGTTTCTAATTGTAGACTTTGGCACAAAAGAGTTTGACGCGGTAACAGCTGGAATTAATCAAGACTTGGACTGAATCACCCACTTCGGATCCTATCTACTGACTATCCCATGAATAAATAATCTTTTTTTTTTGTTTTAAAACGTTTACAAACATACAAGTTCACACACACATGACACCCAGACCCGAAACAACAACTTGCGGATCACACACAGTGTTGTCCGTGCGGGAATCGAACCCGCGACACGTTGCACGGCAGCCGGTTGCCCAGCCACCGCGCCAACCGTCCAGTCAATCATTTGAGCACACATAGTACCTCCTTTTTTTAAATTCGGTCGGAATACTCAAACGCTACTCAATTTTAAGTCGTGCTTAAGTATAGTTCTCCACAAATTCTTTGTAAAATGACAGAGATGACACGATATTTGAGCACGACTTAAAATTGAGTAACGTTTCAGTATTCCGGCAGTAGTGTACCAATTTGACACAGGTACGATACTAGCGACCTCTATTAGTGCAAACTCTTTTGCCAAGCTGCAGCCACCTTTCCACCTAGAAGACGAATGATATTTACTTATTGCTGAACTTGCTCTACTGCTTTATATCATAGTTCGACTGTCTTGTTGGTCGATCGTCGACTCCTCGCACTCGAAATCGATTCTCAATTCGATGAAAATATTATTATCGTAAGATTTTTCGCAAATTCTCAAAATGTAACGTACAATTTTAATGTGTATGCGTAGAATGAAAGATGTTATCTGATGTCACAGGAATCAAAGGTATCAAAGGTACTCATCTAGTTATGCATAATGTACCAGTATAACCTGACCGTTGACAATGCGGAAAGATCATACGAAGCGAGGTCATCATACAACTGGTTCTGTTTACCATGAAAACATAACATATCTTTACGCCTTTTATCCCCAAAGGAGTAGGCTGAGGTACAGATTATGTACGGTACTTAATGCCACTGTACAATGTAACATCCACTTTTCACTATTTATGTTATAAGTCCCATGTAATAGGGGGTGAGCCTATTGCTATATACCGGGCACATTACTAGACTCCGTGCTACTACTGAGATTTTTTTGAAAAAGCCCAGTAATACTTTGCCCGACCTGGGAATCGAACCCGAGAGCACGGCAATCGCACTTGCGACCACTCGGCCAACGAGGCCGTTTAGCATGAAATGTAGTCGTAATCGCTCTACTGAATGAAACAACAGGATAAGAGGTCACAGATATCATCCGTAGTAATTGGTATGCGTCGCCCGGAGGATCCAGTTCGTGTAGTACGACACGTTCGTGAAGATCGACAGCTTCATGTCACAGTCGCGCGGCTTCACCGCCAGGATACCCACGACCTTATCCCCATAGTATAAAGGTCCAAACTCGTGTATAAAGCAGTCCTCATGCGTCGACATGTCCACACATATCATGCTATCAACTACCTCCACTCCGTAACTTTCAAAGCACTTTTTGGGTTCAGCAATGTTGAAGGCATACTTCTCGAAGTCATTTGTGAGGAATAGTTTCTTGTCCATGGTGGAGACAGTCTTCCAGATGCTGGATTCCATGGCGAAGACCTGTCTGTCGTCGATGACGGAAGGTTTGATGATGAAGGGCCGGAACTCGACGTTCAGTTTGGCGACTGCGATGTCATACAGCGGGGTGGGGTTACTGATGTTGAATTTCTCGTGGAGTCTCCAGAAGAGGATCGGGTAGGTGTGTGTGTAGTTGCGGGCAAAGTCGTAGAAGAGGAGCACTCGGTGCGTGGCGCTAGGGCGTCTGGAAGATGTAAATAATTTGAGGATTAATTGTAGGACTTTGTAAGCAAAATCAGTTCTTTATGAAACACATTTTTAAACTTGAACAAAAACAATATATATACCAAAGAGGGCATACTAGTGGACTAAGCGGTTTCAGCCAATTGAATTCTTATTGGCAATCTCATAATACCATGTAAAATTGCGACGATGGTAGAATGTATATAGCTGTAAAAAAGCTTGAATTGAAAACTGTGGAACTTGCGTGGACAAGTCATAGAGGCAAGCTTAGTAATTTAGGTACCATAATAACGACTTGAAAGTGCAACAGCTAAATGACTTGTGTTTGAACATATTGCCGTGCATTACCTGCAATGAGCAGAAGTAACGACCCACTTGATAAGCACGACACTGGCGAAGCAAGCGAACGACCACAAAGTGGAGGAGTTCCTCGTGATAGCTGCCACGTAGGGGAACCTCGCAGCGAGGTGCAGGGTAGAGTTATCATGCAGGGAGATCACTCCCATGGATTTGGTGTACTGGTAGATGGAGCCTCCTTGAGAGAACTCTCGCTTCCTCTCTTCTACTGTGATGTCGGTGGCGAATTTGACCATGACACAGACCGCCATGATTGCCATCAGTATGAGCATTGTCAGGACAATGCATGCTGCTTTCATCTTCAGCGGCTTCGTGTGGTGGAGGCGTTCGTATATATTCTGTTGTTGCTGATTATTGTACTTGTAGCCATTTGAACTGTAACTGCTGATTTCTGTCAGTTTTGATGGATGACTTCTAGTCTATTATTTGTGTTTCTGTCGATGGTCGTTGTTTCGAAACTTATTTTTAGAAGTGATTAAAATATGAATGGATTACCATACACCATTACCAACCATTAACCCATTAGGTTTACATGGCAGTCGCAGAGAACCTAACGGTTTTTAGTCAGCAAGAGTCTGACACTCTCTCCCGCCTCACCCAGGCGGGAGCAGTCATTCGATGATTTTCCCCCCTTAAAAAAAAGGGTTACATGGCAAAATGATCATCATTTAGATGTTTATATGACAACCGGGAGAAATAGTTTCAGGTCGTAGGAAAACGAATCTATTATACTTGGATATTAGCACTTAAGTTAATACCTACGCGTTAACTAAAGTATAACAGATGAAACCACAGCGTTAAGCTTCATAATTCATATTTATGAGTGACAGAAGGGCTGGCGAATTCAATCGTATAAAGTATATCACTTAATTTAGTCGAGTGTGCCGTCCCGCCCCGCCCCGCCCCGACCGGCGCGGCGCGGCGCGACGTCGCGGTGCAAATCTGTACAAATACGGTAAGCTCTCACACGAGGGGAGACGGTTCGAAGATGTGTCGGTACTAGATGGGGTTCTTTTAATAGTTGATTTGTTTATTCAGTTATGTTGTTTTTCAGAGCGCGGTTGAGGAGGGTTGTGTTTTGATATTTCCAAAAAAATACTGACTACACCTGTAAATAATAATCACATTCGTTAATATTGTCTTTTCAATTTCACTGTTGTCTGTTTACCTACATCGCTTATTTTGTTTCTTGATTTAACTATTTTCGAAGTTTTATATTCAAAATTAGGATTTATTTTGTTTGCATGTCGTGATTTCCTATAATTGGAGAAGCACAAGATATCTGTTTTTTGCATTAACACTGTCTATATTACGTGTATTGTTTGTTGTAGATCCTTTTTAAATAGTTAAATAAATAAATAAGTAATCTGGGGGTGCTTTAGCAAAACCTCGGCCAACACTGGTTGCCGGTGACCTAAATATTTGTATAATAAATAGTATCGGCATTAGTATGAGATAACATAACATCACGTCTTTTAACCCCGAAGGGGTAGGCAGAGGTAGTCCATATTATGGCACATAATGGTAACTCCCACTAATCACTATTTATGTAATGAGACCCATGTAATAGGGGGTGAGCCTATTGCCATATACCGGGCTCAATTCCAGACTCCGTGCTACTACTGAGATTGAATATTTTTTAAAAATCCCAGTGGTACTTCGCTCGACCCGGGGATCGAACCCGAGACCCATTGCCCGGCAGTCGCACTTGCGTCCACTCGACTAATCAGGCAATACTTACCTAAGAAAGTTAAGTAAGTAAAAATATACATATATTGCTAAACTGAAAACCGATCGATCTCATTTTCTAGAACCAATTGTAAAAAATAAGCTCAAAATTCAAAATATTCCTTTCTTCATCACATCCAGTGTTCATGAACCCTCCAACAATAAGCTAATGCACGTTAAGTGTGTCCCCGTCAATATTTGCGAGTCTGCCCTCAATGTGCCCTCGAATGCCCGCGAGTGGACCGGCCACACTGGGGCACTTGTGGGCAAACAGGATTAGCGCGGGATTAGTTTCACGGTAGTCAGGTCAATTAGGTAAACAGTGAATCGTGTAAGCAAATTAATTTCTAGTGTTTATGTTTGTTAAATTATTTGTTACCTACAGGTAATTGAACTAATATTGGTGTAAATAGATTTTTAGTATCACTAAGTTCACGCCGTGAAAACACAGGTCTTGCTGTAATATAGTTGTCTCAGTAATACAATAGTTTTACAAAGAAAACGTATCCTTCGGTAGATGGCACGTGCGATACAAATCGTGCATACAAAAGTAGATAATTGTTTTTTTTCAATGTGGTGTTGGCGAACATTGCTCCGGATACCATGGACTGCCAGACGAATAATGTCAATGGAAACAGCTCAATATAAAGACTAGACTGTCGACCGTATGTTACCAGCGAATGCTTGGATATTTCAGTCACATTGCCCGCCGCCAGTCAGATAACCTCGACAAATTCTCGACCACGTGGCCGATCACCTAGCTGATGGTGTGACCAAGTTACCAATTACACGGGACTCTCTGTTACGAAAGCCCTGAGAGAAGCCGAAAACAGGACAAGATGGAGGGAAATAACACAGAGAGCAAGGAAAGCCTTTCCAAGGGGCACGACCTTCAAAAATGAAGCAAGCGATCAAGGAGTTTATTGTTCAGTTAAAAATTAACCACGGTGTGGGAGAGCTCTGCTTCGACATGAATGGGCCGGCTTGACAGGAGTGATACCACGGCCGAGCAAAAAACCGACGTGAAGCAACGCTTGCGTTGTGTTTCGTCGTGTGAGTGAGGTTACCGGAGGCCCAATTACCAAACAGGAGTAGATTATGGTCTGGAATACATAGGCTACTTCTTATTACACAGGAACGCGAGCTAAGCCGCTGGCAGAAGCTAGTACTGGGTATTATTCTATTGTATAATTGGGTACTTGCCTTCATCAACAATAAATTATTTCGACTGTAGTTAAGCAATCAATGGACATGCGCCGCACCCATCATTGCTGACCAAGTTCCGGACGATCAGCACGTGTAGCCACAAGTGCATATTTAGCAATAAGTTAGAATTAGATATTACTCATAAATGTGACTTGTAGAACCATTTAATCAATAAACATTAAAAATATTTATTTTTTAATTAATTTCTCGATCGCCGTAACTTAACTCTGTACAACAAATAATTAACAAATAATCACATTTTCATTAATTGATTTTATGACCAACTTCATTTTAGTACTTTCCCAGCAAATTTTAAAGAAATAAGTATGCTGTTTGACGCTAAAAAAAACGTGACGTCACAATACACAATTTCGTACAAAATTCATAGAAATCTCTCGTTTTTGACAGTTCGAAAAAAGTATTGAATTTGACTAGTTGGTAAGTACCCAAGTAGATAATAACATTAAACTTGTTTTTGTTGAACTGAGTGCAATTTATATCGATACCAAATATCTATTCACATAATAACATTCGGTACCATTCTAGTTTGCAACGAGACGACCTCGACGGGGCGTCCTATCAAGATGCGATCTTACAATGCCGATGCTCCGTACACAATTACAACTACACATCCCTCGTGTCATGCTATCTCTGATTATATCTGATTTATTTTTACATGTTTTGATTGGGCGAGCAATTGGACATGCCGATTGGGGTGAGAAATATCGATTTGCGATAAAATATAGTTTACTTACTGCTGTGGTACGAAATACTGACGCGAAACGCAACGCGACGGGCGGTTTTAATCTTGGCTTGCAAATGCCAAATTGCAAAATCTTAGGAGAGGGACAAACCTACTAACGTTTATTGCTCTCCCAACATTTTGGACGAACCTTTAACACCTTGAACGCCATGGGGGACAAGGTATGGGCTACGATAGCGGAGGATTTACCCTCAACAGTTTTCTGTCGGCAGTCAAAGGGTTAATGACCTTTTTAAACCTTATGCCATTGCCATATATTATCACATTTTTCTACTAACGATATCGTTTGTAGAATTGTAATTTGGCGAACACCGCTGGCTCGATGATAATAAATTAAACAGAGAATATATTAAACTGTCAAACACCAAGCGGTCACCGGTGACCGCAACCTATTGTTCTATAATTGTGTCTATAATGACGGTACTCAACGAGTTAAGTTGCTTGCTTGCAAGACTGCCTTATTGGCCTCACATTGATCGCAAGTGTGAGCTGGGCAAGGGGTCTCAGGTTCGATTCCCGGGTCGGGCAAAGTATTACTGGGTTTTTAAAAAAAAACTTAATAGTAGCACGGAGTCTGGAAATGTGCCCGGTATATGGCAATAGTCTCATCCCTTATTACATGGGTCTCATAACATATATAGCGAAAAGTGCTCTGCTACCTCTGCCTACCCCTTCGGGGATAAAAAGGCGTGATGTTATGTGTGTCAAAAATCCATTTCAATCCCATTAAAGTCACCTAAACTGAGCAGTTGTGTTAACAAACTCGATTACTTACGTTAACAACGCTAACCGTTCACAGTTGACTGCCCGATTTGTTAACACATAAACAATAATTATGATAATTATTCAAACAGTCGACGAGTGGTAACATTCCCGCGCCGCCCAACAGTTCAACTTTTAACTTAATTGTGACATCTTTTCATTATACATGTTAACATTCAACAAATGTACCGTCAGATGATAAATTCGTTTCGTACACAGAAATATTAAAACAATACCTACATTGAATATAAAAATTTAAAATAAATATTAAAACTTCTTCATTATACCTCTATTTATGGTTTTTTTTTTAACACGTTAAACGCCATGGGGGTCACCATTGACCGGCGTTAGCGGAGGATTTACCATCAACAGTTTTTTATTGGAAGTCAAAGTCTTAACTCGTCGAGTACCGGTTTTGTAGACACAATTATAGAACAATAGGTTACGGTCACCGGTGACCGCTTGGTGTTTGACAGTTTAAGGAACTTAAAGTATTTTTTATTAGGTAGGTAATATCATGGACAGAGGATGTAGATTTCGCGAGGTTAGTGCTCAAGCGAAATCTGGTGAGGTTACAAAATACAGTCTCGTGAGATTTCGTCAATTTCTAGATCTCGCGAGATTGACATATTTTGTATATTTTTTTTTAACAAACAATGTAATTGTGGCGACGCATGCCACATGTCAACTGATGACGTCACAAGAATCCTACATCGCACATGCAAAGTTTACAAGCGATTTAACACGGATAGAAAATCCCAACTAACAACTGTTGGGCAGAAAGCCCGCCAGGCACGATCACCTCGCCTGGTCGGAGGATCCTCCTTTTCCGATCTTAGGGAACTATACTCTCTGTTCCCTAAAGTGGTGACCCCGACGTGATTGGAAGTAATCTTCACTTCACGGAGCAGATCAGC